GTTTGGAACGACATGAGGGTGAGTAATTAATGACAGAATTTTCATTTTTGGGTGAACTATCCCTTTAATACATTGATTACGTTCTGGGGTACTCTCCAAAATGGTGGAAGACGGTAACTCTGGGAGAAGAATTGCTGAATAAATTATGTTGTTACTGTTTTCTTTGCGCAACATTTTCGTAAAATTATGGTTGAACCCCTGATGTCACATGGATTATTTTAATGATGTCCTTGCTAAGTTTCTGAGCCTTGATCGTGTTAGGATTCTTGCTGTCTATGGGAGGGTCAGACAGCTCTCAGATTTCATCAAAAATATCTTAATTTGTGTTCTGAAGATGAACGAAGGTCTTACGGGTTTGGAACGACATGAGGGTGAGTAATTAATGACAGAATTTTCATTTTTGGGTGAACTATCCCTTTAAGGCCGTTTCACACTGAGCTCGATGCGAAAAAGTGAGGTGAATTCCCACAGAGCGCGAAATTGTTCGCCTTCTGCTAATTCACGCCGGCACGCTAGGTGGCGCCAACCAACAATGCATTTTTCCTCAGATATGTATCTCATATATGGTCCTCTGCTCAACATACAGCATTAAATTAAGATAAATAAAGTTTGGTTCTACACCAGAAAAACAAACCATCTATAATGCTTACAAGAATACATCCTAAAATATAAATAGACGTACAACTAGCATCAAGCTACATTTGAAAATGTCTGTGACTATTTTTGGTCTTTCTTAAAACTCACTTTAAACCATCATCGAGTGCTTGTAATAACTTCCGATTGAGATATAAAGTGGATTTTTATTCTATAATAGGCAGACATGCACTCTTTGTATGTTTGTATGGACTGAACGCGTACAGAAAATATATCGTCACAATCATGTTTATTTGCTTTCATATTTCATCTGTAGAAAAATGTTTCCCTCATTTTTTCATACGTAATGGCAGGAGATATGGTCCCATGATTGACAGATCTTGAGTGAGCGTGCTCTGACTCGTAACACTCGCGCACGTGGAAGAATACTGACAGTGCTCTCCAGATCACATAATTCAGTGGAGAAGTAATAGAAATTATATTAAGAAAATGTGAGAATAAATCTGTTCTCAAATACCAATGATAACAAGAACTCGGCATCCTTTTCTCTCTCGGGATACTCTTCTTCTGTGTTTGTTTACACTGGTTTTGGAAACAGCGCCACCACTCTCACCTTTCTGTGCAACAGCAGCTGCTCTGGGCACGTGATCGTAGCTCAAATCTAACTGGACGCCCGGTTCATCGCGGAGCGACGGGGAAAAAAATCCTCGCTTTTCGAGCCGCGAATGATCGCGCCTAGTGTGAATAGCTCCACAGGGATCTATTGTTTTAATTCAAAAGCGTCATCGCGCCGAACATTCCCGCCAAATTTTCGCGTTCAATGTGTGAAAAGGCCTTTATAGTAAACTGAACGTCAGTTGGTGTGGGTGCTAATATAGCTATCATTATAGTTATCGTTAGTTATCGTTCTGGGCGTGAATGGGTTTTTAAAGCAGCAGACAGCATAACACCAGTGCAGACTTATAATAAGAACGTTATCATACATTAGTGTAAATGCTAATATAGCTATCGTTATAGTTATCTCAGCCGTTATTTTTCTTGACGTGAACAGGGTTTTGAAAGTGGCAGACGACATAACAGCAGCGCACACTTATGATAACGTTATCGTATGTTGGTGCAGATGCTAATATAGCTATCATCATAGTTATCTTAATAGCTATCGTTCTTGACGTGAACAGGGTTTTGAAAGTGGCAGAAGGCAAAAATCCAGCGCACACTTATACTAAGAAAGTTATCGTCCGCTGGTGTGGATGTTAATATAGCTATTATTAGTTTCAGTTATAGTTATCGTTCTGGGTGTGCACAGGTTTTTAAAGTGGCAGATTACATAGCAGCAGTGCACACTTATAATAAGAGCATTATCATATGTAAGTGTGGATGCTAATATAGCTATCATTATGTTAATAGCTTTCGTTCTTGACGTGAACAGGTTTTTAAAGTGGCAGATGACCAGTGTTGGGTAAGTTACTCAAAAAAAGTATAATCCAGTACAAATTACTAATTAATTCTTTAAAATTGTAATTTGATTACATTACTGATTACTGCATTTAAAAAGTAATCAGATTACTAATTACTTTACTTTCAAGTTACTTTCATGTTTACTTTACTTTTCAAGTTATCAAACCTAAAAACAATACACTACAAAGTGTAAACTCATAGTTCTTTCATTAATTTAATATTGACTGAAAGATTACATAAGTATTATTTGTATACACTCGCAATATCTTTACTTTAATTATTACTGTGTGACGCGTTATAACCAACTCTGCAGACGACGTAACAGCAGCGCACAGTCATAATAAAAACATTATCATCTGTTAGTGAGGACGCTAATATAGCTATTGTTATGGTTATCGTTACCATTCTTGACGTAAACAGGGTTTATAAGTGGCAGATGACATAAAAGCAGCACACACTTATAAGAACGTTATCGTTCGTTGGTGTGGATGCTAATATTGCACATAGATAGAAAACACAAGGTTTTGTGACATTGATGCTCTGTCATGTGACCAAAAGAGAAAACTTGGTCCCACTTTATATTAAGTGGCCTTAACTACTATGTACTTACATTTAAATTAATCATTTGGTACAATGCACTTATTGTGTACATACATCTTTTTACATTGTCCTTATATTTGAAAGATATTTGCATGTACCGTATTGGCCCGAATATAAGACGACCGCGTTTTTTCAGATGTATTTCCAAGAAAAAAACATCGTCTTATATTCGGGTCAATACGGTAATTACATCTGTAATTCATTTCTGTAATTACATTTAAATTACACTGTTGACCCATCCCTTACACTTTAACCCACCCTTAAACCTACCCATACCACCAAACCTGCCCCTAACCTTACCCGTATCCCACCTCAATAGCAGCAACAGTGTTTTGCAATACAATATGAACACAATAAGTACATTGTACTTAATTTTTGATGTAAGTACATAGTAGTTAAGACCACTTCAAATAAAAGTGGGACCGAAAACTTTAACTTTGCCTTAGTTAACTTGCATTGCAGCCATCTGTTGAGCAGCCAACTGTGCCTTTGGAAACTCAATTCAGTGTATTCCTGCTTGATTTTAATCGGAGTCGGATACCTCCACACCCTCGCAAAGCATCTTACGCATTACTCTTCGTAAAAAATGCTCCGTCAGAGCTTTCTCTAGCATTTAAGTGTCTTTAGACTGTCAGCAGTTAAAAACCTTTAAATCAGCACCGTTACAGACGTCAAAACCGCAACAAACTCACCACCTTCAACAATAAATTATGGGATAAATTATGGGAACAAATGTTCTTGTTTTTGATGAGGACTAAGACAGATTGCTTCATTAAAGGATTTATTTGTTGAATATTGGCCAGTTACGCTATTAAAGACCATTGGTTATCATCCAAATGTCTCTTAAAAACGCATCTCACTGGCTTCTGACCCTACACCAACTTATTACACAATGTTTCCTTAAGATCGAGCAGTCATTCGGCCAGTTTTGCAGATCTTCTCTGATGACGTTTCTGCTTTGCGGTCATGAGCTCTGCAGATGAGAGTAAGGTCTCACATTAGCGGAGCCGTGGAGCGTGAGTGCAGCAGTTTTGGGTCAATCATCTCCACTCGTCACATGGACAGTGCCAGAGACTCAATAAACTAGACTCATTCACCACGTTTGAGGTCTGGGGGTCAGGTCAAAACATCTATTTTTAACCGCTTTTACACCGTCAGGGTGCTGGCAAACAATCTGGAACAGCTGACGTTTGCATAAACTCTCCTCACATGCCCATCTGGCGAGAGCTGTCATGATTACCAATAGTTTAAGCATAACATATTTATACCACAAAGAGTTCATATGAAACACTTCATTCTTCATTCATATGAAACGTTCCTTAAACTCATAAGTGTTTTGTTGGTAATTGTACACTAAGTTTAATGTAGCTTAAACTACCATTCAAAAGTTCGTTTTTTTATTTTTTTGAAACTGAAAGTCTCTTCTGCGCAACAGAGCTGTTTTTATTTGACCAGAAATACAGTAAACAGTGATATTTTGTCATATTTTTTTTTTCAATTCAATAAAACATTCAAAAGAGCAGTATTTATTTGCACTAGAAATGTTTGTAACATTACAAAATGCCCTTAAGGTCACTTTTGATCAATTTCTTTGCTAAACAAAAGTATAACTATTTTTCAAAAAAGAAAATAAATAAAACATATTTAAACTATGCTTTTAAACTGCAGTGAATTAATTATATATTACATATTACCAGTACACAAAAATACACATTTAAAGATGCATTCAATATTTGCAAGTAAAATAAGTTTTATTTATTATTTAAATTGCACAATTATTTACATATTTCCGAATAATTAAAACCTTTCTATATCTATTTTGTATATTAACACAAATATTTTTTAATCCAGCCAACCGGAATATTGTATTATACACAGTAAAATAATATTTATTGTTGTTATTAAGGTGATGTGACCAATGATGGGCAAGAATATTTTTAAATAATATGTAAATGTTAAAATAAAGGAAAAAAAGATCAATAAAATGTGCATTTCTATATTCAATACATTTTTTGGATGACAACCATTTGTAATATAATTGCAGTTTATATAACCATCATGATTATTTATGTAATATGCATAATTATGCAATTATGTAATTATCAAAACACACTTATCAGGCACAAACGTCATGTTTTACCTTTGCATTTTTAATAAACCACAAACTTTACAGACTCCAACAGTGAATCTGCTTTACTCGTTTTAAAAACAAAAACAATCAAGCTAAAGCAAAATAAAGGCAGATCATTAGGGTTTGGAACAGACCAACTGTATAATAGTCAGAAAACCCTTTTTTTTTATTTTTTTTTTTAAAGATACTGTGTCTTTCATCAAAATAGCTAACTCACCTTTAGTCCTTCACTGGGCAGCCTGTAGCCAAATCGAGCTGGCAAGTCATCAAAGTTCTCTGTTTTGTTGTCAAATGAATACTGAAAAACAAACGCAACCATGAATTACTGTCCGGCAACCATGTGTTTAAATGTTGCATATCAATTTACTGTTGCTGCACACGTGTCAGAAACGTACAGCTGATATATCGGCCTCCACGGGCAGCAGATTGAGGAAGGCGAATATCTGAACCGTGAAAATGGTGTAAATCTGTGTGGCCGAGAGCATCAGCATCCCCAAAGAGAGCAGCATCTTAAGACCTGCTTCAATTACACCTGCAAACGAAAGGAAATGATGCATTAGACATCAGCAGAAAGTCCCCAGAAAACATTTCCCGTTTCTGAGGGCCAATGCAACCCTGTTTGTCCGTTCAAAGGAAGCAGATGATCGGATATACTGAACGCTTGGGAAAGAACTGAGCACTAGTGAAATATGAGTTACAGCATAATGCAAACAGTATGCAAATTGCTAAGGTTTCAAAAATATATTTAGCCAGAATAGACCGCAAACAGTCGTCAATCGAGATGCCTTTTGCCCTGATAATGATGCAGATAGAGGGCTAACAGGACCATGATAGCCAGCTAAACCTTCACCCTCGTCAATTTTCCTTTGTGTTTTTGAAAAGTTTTGTGTTGAAGACATTAGGGCTGCACGATTAATCGAATGCGATTGTCATGCGCATTTTGTTAGTAAAGCCGGTTCTGTGATTAGTAGTAAATCATCATCACGTGCTTTCAGATGGAGCAGCATTTACTACACAGAGCTGTAGTTCACCGACAAGTTACGCAAAAATAAAAAATAAAATCGCTGACGATTTTATTGCGCGATTCTGAAATGGAAGAAATCGTTCGCGATAATGACAGCTGTTTGCATAGCTTCTCAGTGAACTACGGCTCTGTGAAGTAAATGCTGCTCCATCTGAAAGCATGTGAAAAT